CTATCTGCACGAACAAAGTGGCACTATCTCCTGGAGCTTGACCTAATACCCAAATGTGGAAAGGTCCGAAGAAATAAGCACACACAAACTTGTTTAAAAAGCAGGTTAAACACAACTTACAGGCTTTCTGCAGTACAAAGCTTTGAATGGTGATTCTCTTAACTGGACCAGAAAAGCTCATCATTTAATAAACCATCTTGTTAGTCTTTAAAGTGCTACACAGTCCTGTCTTTTGTTTCAGCAAGACCAGACTAACACGGCTACATCTTTATCACAATGCCCCAGGCAGCTTGGGAACACTTTAGTGTCCTTAAAAGCATTGATAAGCTTTTCACTGTGACAGCAGGTTTTTTTTAATTGAAGTTATGGCCATCTGCTTTATTAAATAACATGAAACATTAACAAAAATCAACTTTTAAAAGATGAATGTAACATTTACTGTTCCAGAATTCCATTCACAAACAGTATCAGCTCCACTTCCTAGAAGGAAATCCAGTCAGCTGACACCACTGCTGCACAGCAAACACAACCCAGCATGAGGAAAATGCCAGATATTAGAAGAGTTTTACTTATTTTTAGGCAAATGCCTGGTTAAATAAAAACATCAGTAGGATTTACCTTACAACTTTTAGCATCACTCCACCTCTACTAATTTGCAATTCCTGTCTCCAATGACCTCACCACACTGGATTCTTGCAGAGAGGAAGGCTTCCTCTTGACTGTTTTTTGGTATCCGAATCTGTTTTAATGACATACTCTAACATTCCTAAAACAGATTTTATAACACATTGGAGTTTTCCTTTAAAATGGTTTGAAACACCCATGGACATGCAATGACCAGTGCTCATATTCTATATACTGTCTATTGACCACAGAGTGGCCTAAATTCTCCAAACTAATTTTGGCTGCCTCAGTACTTGGAGGTGCAGATTAAGATATGAACACTTGCACTCTGAAAACTAGGCCTCTTCAGTACATCTCAAGTAGGGCACTTACCAGTGGCAAAACAAGTCTTTAAGCAGCTTTGAAAACTGAAACCAACAAACACCACTGAAATTCTCATTGATATGAACAAACTCATTAGCTTAGCTGAAATGCTCAGCTCCAGGATAGGATTATGAACAGGCCACTACAGATTCAAGCTCTTACCTGGCTATGTAGAATTTGGCAAACGGGCTGTGAAATGGGTATAACCAAAGACTGCTTTCACTGACATGCTAGTTCATCACAGAATGCCATGGAAGGTCTCTACTGAAAGCCTGTTACACACTGATCAGCTTAATTACTGCAAAATGTGAGTACAATTACCAAAAGAGCGATGTATAGACACACGCCAAAAACAGTGTTCTTAAAGTTCATTAAACAGGTAAGCAGAAGGCAGCAAACGGGATGCAGGACACCATTGTTTCCCAATTTTATTTGGCCACAGAACCCTTTTAAACTCAAAAGAATTTCACGGAACCCCTAATAGCAGTCTAATATATGGAGCTGAAAAAGTAGACCACAAATAAGTAAGGATAATAATAAACAAATGCTAAACAAGGTCATGAGATCAACATTTAGTTTAAATGCATATATTTTAAAACAAAAATCACATTTAATGTGTACAAAAAATAAAGCTAAAAAACGAATATGCATTATATTGGCAGATTTCAATGCAAACAGTAGTTTTTCTTCTTGTCTTGACAAATTCTTTTTATATTTGGTTTAATACTGGAAAGTTGGATTCGCATATCTGGCGCGGCATTCAGTCAATTCCTGTATTTCGTTTTTGTTGCTGCGTAATTCGAGAACCCAGTTTCGCACAAGTATATGTTGGTGAAGAGTAACAGCTGACAAATTGCACGACTTGATAAAACTGAATATTTTTAAGATAAGCTGCCCCAAAATGTAATCAAAGAAACTTCTTTAAATTTGTATTAATTGGCCATCTGAAGTGATTTCCATTAGGTTTTCATAATCTTGCGTATAAAAACTGACTAGCTTTTCTGTTATAATTAATGGATTTCGAATCCAGTTATTGTCTTTTATGGTTGGAAAATACTTCATGATGTTTGTGTATAAATTGCGAAGATGATCTGCAATGTCCTGGCCAAGAGGGAGGGGCTTGGGGCAGGGGGTCAGAGCAAGCTGGGAATGCGAGCTCTTGGCGGGGGGAGGGGAGTGAGGGGGATTTGGGTGCGGGGTCTGGGTACGAGGGGGATGCTTACGAGGCTTGGCACTCTGCTGCAGCAGGGAAAGCCTTCAGGCAGCACGCTGTCATTCCCCCAGCAGGGGGGCAGGAGAGGAAGCTCGGTCCTTGGCCCCATGCAGCGGGGATCCCATCACAGCTGCAACACCAGGTCAGGCATCCCACTGACAGGATGTGGGAAGTGTAGAAAACCCAACATTCCCCGCCAGACCAGACCCTGCCACTTCCCCAGCAAGCTGGGGAAGGGCACGGGGGAGAGCGTGTGGCAGCGCATGCAGGGTAGCGAGCCAGTGCACACCTCAAGGTGGGGGGACGGACAGCCAAACCTGCGCATGCCCCAAGGGGGGGGGGGTGTCAAAGCCTCAGCCGAGTTCCACATGGCCCCTGTCGGGGTGCAGGCAGCAGTTTAAAAACACTGAAGTCCAGGAGTGGCTACTTGGGACTTTGGATCCAGCCACCCCTCCCTTTCCTGGCAGCAGCGGCCACTGTAACAAGCCATGGCCTGCACACGAGGAGAAGGAGGCTGCATGGCATCGGAAGCTCTGTGGGACAGGGGCCATCCTGCGGGGAGAGGAGGGGACTATGCAGTGGTGGGACAACTGCAGTGGGTGGTGGAGCGGCCAGAGCCGCGCATCATTAGAAGCCTGCCCCCACTGGCCCAGATCCAATAGGAGCGGACTACGGGCTCTACAGAGGCTGGGGGAGTGAGTAGAATTTTCTCACGGAACCCTTAGTTTCACTTTGTGGAACCCCAGGGTTCCACAGGACACACTTCTCTCCCTGGCTGACCATTGTGTAGTTATGTAGGATGTGACTTGCAATGGGAGTGATTTGTATATGGTGCCACCAGCTAATCAAGACCACAAAAGTTGAAAAGAGATCACAAAAGCGACAAGAACGAACACACAACAATGGGGTATCTGGTATCACTAAGATGGAGTTAGTCTGGTGAACGCACAAAGATACCTCTTATGTGAAAGATATCATGTAAGCTGTTCGTAGGTTTGCTTCACATACAGGTCACAGCAAAGCCTGACTGTAATGCACTGGGGGGATTTTGAGTGAGCTTTTGCTTTTATGCCATAACAACATCATGTTAGCTAAGTTTAGGGTCTAGCAAGTGTGCTGTGATTTTATTTTTTAGGTAACCCTAATACTTTTGCTTGCTGCCCTCTGAATTTCTGCTTTGGCTTCATGTCTATTGTTAGCCAGCAGAGGGACAGCAGAGCCTGCATAGACTGGGAGGGGAGGTGCCATAGAGCTGATCCCTGACAGGCACAGGCGAAGTTTCCTCATGCTGAGGGCAGGTGGGTGCAAGGTGTCTCACAAACATGGATATCTCTAGGAACGATCACACTGCCCATCGTTGGACTCCAGAGAGTCTTCATTAAATTTTTGGAGATCATGGAACAAATGATACTTGAACATAGAAAAGCAATTACTATATCAGAGTATTGCACAAGAGGCTTCAGAATTTGAGACCAAGGGGTTTTTGGTGCTCCTTTCTTGCACTCCGTTGAAAAATCTCAGCCTAGGTTAACATGCACCAGAGTCTTTGCCACTTCTAGATTTCCTGCTGTGATCTCACTCCTGGGTGTTCAGCTTTTAGACCATCAGCTCTTTGGTCCGTGCATTGGGCAGTGCCATTCCCACAGTCAATGCTAACACCACACTATGATGCCCCTCTCTGATTTAGCTATCTCATGCCAAGGGCTAGTGACATCTACATGACTGCGACTGATCCACTAAGCCCGAGGAGTTCTCTCCAAGATGACTTGGTTCTCTCTCAGATAACACTTCTGAGGAGAGAGTTGGGGTAGGATTTTTACAAGTACTTGCTCAATGTAGGTCCAAGTTGCACCACTAATTTCAATGGGAACAAACCACCATTTAAAATTCTTCTTTCAAAGGCTGAGCCACATAGGAATTCCTGGTCATTCCCACCTACCCTAGAGAAGAAGGCAGAAAACCACACTTCCTGCATTTAAGAAAGTGGCAGTCCTGTGGCTCCTATCTCCTGAACAGGAGTCTGCCCCCACTTGGCCCAGGTTTGCCTGTTACCCAGGCATCCTGCTGCTTCCCACTTCATGTTAAGAGCGGGATTTTCAAAAGCACCTTGCGTCCGTCTATTGCTGCTTCCCAGCAATCTCAATGACAAAACACCCGTCGCCTTTAATGGGAGTAGTTAGGCCACTGGCAAACACTTCTGAAATTCCTGCCCTACAGGCAGGAATGAATCATGACCAGATTTCAAACTCCAGAAACATTTTAGGCAGTCACAAAATGTAACCTTCCAGGGAAGCCTTAAGGTACCATTAAGCAAGCTGATGCTGTGATTGGAGGAGGCCTTGAGCTCACGTCCACACACTTAGGAAAATAGGCAAAGCAGGCCAGTAGCAGAGACCCCCCCACAGTATCCCATACGAAGGGGTTTTATTTTAAGCGATGCATTTGTGTGTATTTACATAAAGCATATATATAAATATGCACAAAAGCCGCAGTATTTCCAGCCAACGTGTGTAATCTGCTGCATCCTCTGATAGAGTAGTTTTGTCGTAAGATAGCAATTCCCAGAAGGAAAGGGGTGAAGTGAAATACTTTATCAGCCATGTACATATGTAAACCAGGAGCCCTGGTTGAAAAGCCAAAGCCTCTTTTTCTCTGAAACAGGGGAAGGGAAGGAACACTATTGGCTTTGAGCGTGGACAAAAATGACAGGCATGGAAACGAACTCTAATATTATCACCGTCCTATTGACCTCTGATAAACACCCAGTTATGGTTAACAGAAACAAAAAGTGATGCACCTGTTTTTAGTAATTTTTTTTAGTAATTTTTTTAAAGTATGCAAACGTTTTTTAAATTATTCAAGTGGTACAAACAATCTGTTATAAAAGAGAATTCCTGACGTTCTCTAGGGATGTAGCTTTCTCAGTTTGAAGGATCAGCTCCCCATATTTCAGTGCTGACTGGTGTGCAGCTCATTGTGGTGAAGGAGTTAATGTTCGAGCCTGAAATCCTCTGGTATAACAGGGTATTCTGCAGGCGACTGCTCACTGGTATGTGTTGCTCACAGATGAAAAAGCCTTGCCTTCCACCTGAGAATTTAAGGTGCACTTTTAGGTTTAATGGGCCTGGCTACCAGATCAGCATCTGAAGCAAGAATTCGTTCCCTGGTTTAAAGGCCTGGGAAAGATGCTTCAGATGGCAACAAATGTGCTTAATTCTCTTGGCTGAAGAATACAGATGTGGACAGAAGATGCACTCATTCGGTGTCCATCAGCAGATGACCTGAAGGAACAGAGAATACAACAACATGTAGTACTGTTATCTTTTATCAATGTTCAGCAAGGACAGAATCTCCTGCCACCCAATACACACATAGGAGAGGCTGGTACATATAGCTGTGCCAATAATATGCAGCAGCGTGGAGGTGGGGGAAGACTGAAAGTGTCCAGCTCAATGCACCTAAAAGCAACCAACCTTTGTCATGGGGGCAAAGAAACAGACCCCTAAGTGAGTTCCAAAGGCCATGGTACCCTCAGTCAAATGCCCATTCAACTTAAATACTGTTGCTCTCCAATGTTAGGGAAAAAAGTTTTAATACACGCAGAATAAAGATAAGCAGAAGGAATGGAGAAGAGGAGAAAGACAGAAAAAAGGAGAGAGAATGAGCTAGGGGGGAGGGAGAGAGGGAGAATGAGAAAGAAGGGGGAGGGAGCGAAAAAGCACACGCGCGTACCCATCTGGGCAATGCATCACATTGAAATTGCCCCGCATTAAAAATTCACCAGCCAGTGAATTTTCAAGGGATTTGTAGTAATTAGATGACAAAATGCTGGCAAATCTCAGGCTTGCCGAAGATGTTACTCAGGGGTCAAAGACTCGACACTTTTGGCTGGGTAATTTGTAAGTGTCAATCACACTCAGCCATCAGAGAGAAAGGAAAGATCTAACGGCTGAATTCTAACTAAGTCCAACGTTCTTGCCTTCAGCCACCCGGTCTGCTATCATCCCACCTCGCTCCTGCCTTTACTGAATGCAACCCCAGCCGCTGCCTCTCACAGGGGACTCGAGACACAGCAGTTAAAACACAGATTCCTTTTTTTAAGCTTCCCGTTTTTGATTTTTAAAACCCGGAGTGAGTATAACCTGCACGGTTATTTCCCACATGGCTAGAAAGACAACTGCATGGCAGTATAATGAGAGCCCTTGTCACTATGAATCTTTCCCTGGGCTCCACAAATCCCACTTCTCCAACTGGTGAAAGAATGCACAGTGTTCAAGGCTTTCAAGAGATGACCCTAAATGAAGACTTGGCCACGTCTCACTGCTTGGCATGTTGGGATTTTCTTATTTAGTTCCTTGTTATGTTCTTAGAAACACGACCTTTTATCTCTCCTCTTGTGGTCTCCCTGATTCCCAGGAGAAAACAACAAACCAAAACAAAGCACCTGCAGTTTAATTAGCCTCATTATGATAAAAAACCAAAGTCTACTTAGGCTGCCACAGAAGACCCAGGCTCTGATCTTGCAACGTGTTCCACATCACAGGAGTTCTCTTATGCTCATGGGCAGGCCCACTAGATCCATGGGGATAAGGACCAGTGCAGAGGCCTTGTTGCATGGAGCCCAAGGAGTCTCAGTGAGCAAACTGAGTAATAAATCCAGAGTGCGGTAATCCAGGGGAAACTGCTGCATGAATGACACTGACCTGAGATAGGAGGAGAGAGGAGAGGGTTTATTCATTTTCCTTACTTTCTAACCAGGATGCTCTCCCCTGGCGCACTCCCTTGCACAAAGCTTAGGCACAAGTCAGAAGTTTGGGACTGCAATAGAAATGGCAGCTCAGTGAAGGGCAAGATGAGGTGTGGCATGCAGTCTCTTATGAAAGGGTCACCAGCGTTCAGTCACCAAGCTAGAGACCCAAAGCCAGAGGAAGGGAGAAGCACAGAACGGGGGATCAAGGTTTACTGGGCTCTGTCATAGACTTCCTGAGCCAAACTCTGCTCTCGCTTGCACTGGGCTCAATCCAAAGTGACTTCACTTCAGCCCACTCTGTAGTGGCTTCCATTTTAGGGTCTTGATTCAAATGATGCTCTAGCTTGCAGGACACCGAACACTCCAACTCAGATGCAGTGTAGCATTTGGGCAAGTGCTTATCCCCAGTGAAGTCAGTGGGATTACTCACATGCTGAAACGTAAGCATCTGCGTAGAAGCCTGGCTGGATCAGGGGTGGGCTTCAGCATTTTGCGGTACTGAGCCTTTGAGCCACACAACCTCCCAGAGAGTGAGTAGCTCCATTCCACAGTTGAGGAAATGGAGACGCCAAAAGGTTTGAACATTTGGCCTTAATGTGGATGCCTGAATGTAAGAACCTACATCCCTTTTTTGAGCCCACTGGCACTGATGGGGGGAAATGGCAGCTTAGTAGCCTCGACATCAAGCTAAACTCAGTCAGGTACCTATCGTTAGGCATTCAGTTTTGGAAGTGCTGGTGTAAGTGGATTGACCAACACCATCACCACCACCATGGTAAAGCCCTAAAGCAATGGTGGGCAAGCTGGCTGCCAAGCTGGTGGATCTGGCCCGCGGCTGTCCTGCCACTCCTCTGCCCCCAGTCCATTCAAGACCTGCGGATGGGGGAGTGTGCGAAGTCTTTCCTCCCCCACCAAGGGCACCCAGCAGCTAGACAGAAACGCTGGCTGTTTTAAAATTGGCGGTGTTTCTCTCTAGATGCCACACGCCCCTGGCAAGGCGGGGGCAGGAGGCGAGAGAGCGCATTGCGCAATGCGGCACCTAGAGGGAACTGCAGCACCTAGAGGGAATTGCTTAAAATGGAATACTATTCCGTTTCAGTTTTTGCGATTGGGGCTTTTTTCCGGAAAAGACTACTGGGCTGTCTACACTGGCCCTTTTCCGGAACAGGGTTCTGGAATAAGGACTTATGCCCGAGCGGGAGCAGAATAGTTTTTCCGGAATAGCAGCTGATTTTGTACAGTAGAGCATCGTTGCTTTTCCGGAAATTCAAAGGCCAGTGTAGACAGCTCGCAGCTTATTCCGGAAAAGCGGTTGATTTTCCGGAATAAGTGGCCCAGTGTAGACACAGCCTATGTGTTTCAGGTCAGGACTCTGCTGACCCAAATTTCACTCAAATTTATAGCAGTCACCTGACTGCCTTTGATGAAACAACAACCCTATAATTCATAGCTGCTTATTCATCCCATGTTTAATGAGATGTAACGAAAACTGATTGATTCACAAAAGTGTGTACAAGTTATTTTAGGTCGCCAAAATCTCAGGGGTGTGTGTCTAGTTGCATTCACTTCACCTATGCTTTTAAGTATTTAAAGGATAGCATTGCTCACACTAAGCCCTGTGGTTCATATCTGTTTCCGGGCTGCCAGCAAGGAGGAAGGAAAAGTAGGAGTAGAGGTGAAGGTGTAGAACCATCATGAAAACCCAAAGGCAGGTGGTTAACCCTATCCTTTTCACACAGTTGAGGCTAGGCACTGTGGCAAACAAGACACTCAAGGGAACCTGCCTTATGTCAAGCGGACAATTTGGGCATCTAAAAACCAAGTAGTTTAGGGTAGGTGCAGCTGACCTATCAGTTAGATCTCATGGCAATGCAGTTCTACTGCACCCAACAAAGAATTCCCCCCCATACTAAAAAAATCTAAGTCTCTGTAAACAGCCCTCCTCTTGGATTTCTCCTGTGTGTTTTGTAAGATTCTGCTTGTTACAGAAACACAGGAACAGAAGATGTCTGCAAATAAGAGATGCACTTTGAGTGTGCGTAACAAACTTGCCAAATCTCACTGAAGGATGGTACGACCATCCTATCAATGGTAACTCACTCAAACAGCATTTTGTTGATCTTGGCCCTTAGAAATGCCCATTGTAAGTGAACTAAGGGTCTGTTAACATTACTTTAGATTTTGCCTTAATTTAAAAAGTGATTTAACAACTGAGAAATGCTGCCTAACAACAGGGCAGATTTGAGTTGAGGCTATTCTTGTTAGCCAATAGCAGGATTTTAGTTCTATTATAAACATTTAAATACCATTAATTTTGTGTTAGGCCACCTAGAACATTGCAAAAGTTTTTTTTAATCGTTATTTACATTGAAAGACAAACAAACATGGTAAATGCACACTGGCAAGTAGATGAGGTCAGAGCTAAGATGTCATGAGTATTTTATCTTTACATTTTACATGCTTCCTTCCATTTTTTTTTTGGTAGTGGAACTTTAACTTTTAATTTCTTAGCTTTCAGCCATTTGTGTTTTTAAGCTACAACATTCTACAAAGGTTGTTATCCCTCCCTGTAAATTACCGGTAAATATTTACAACTTTAATTCAATGAATTTTTCCCTTGATAATATATAAATTACAAATCTAATCCCCCTCCCCTCCACATGCACAGGGTGAAAGAGTCAAGCCACTGCTGTGATGATATCCCATTGATGGTCTAACAGATCAAACTCTGCTCCAAGGGAGATGTTCTCTACAATTACAAAGGATCCATACAATGGAAAATATTGTGTCTGAAGTCTCTTAGGCTTCAGTTGATCAAAACACTTAGGATAAAGCTCTCGAAAGGATGTAACCTATGAGCATAAGCTGTACTAAAGACTCATGGACCTCAGGCTTGGTCTACACTATAATGTTATTACCATGATTGTAAGTCCCCCACTAAATCAACTTCACCTGCACGCGAGACATTGCACTTAGATTGTCAATGCAGACGCTGTATTGCTTCTAGCAGACTGCATTGGCTATCGACCTTGGCAGCTAACAGCTGGCGCCCCTGCTGCCCAGCGCCTGCTGACAATGCCCAACATAGCAGAGCTTTGGTTCCCCAACCAGTGCAAGCACTCCTAGCAAGGACACTCACCATCATGCAAAACTGATGTCATTACTGCAGTGGTTGTGCATTCACATAACTTAATTTAGGTGTCATTAAGCAAGACTGATCCTCCAGTCTTGTTCTGCAGTTCCAGGAACGTGCAAATTGCCACATGGGATCAGCACAGTGCATTCTCCTGTCTGACACTGGCCAGGACCAATGTCTTCAGAGCATGGTTCCAATAATCTTGCAGTATACAATTGTGGAACATTTAGCCTATGGTGGAAGTTCTGCCATAAAACCTGACACTAAGAGATCACTTTCTGCCCGGGAACAGGCTGATACCAAAAATCCATTGTTTAAGGACTCTGTCATATTATACATCATCCAGACCTCCCTTCTTAGCACACCTCATTTTCTGCACCCTCTGGTTTTTGCTA